TTTTATACTTTCCCCATTTTTACAATAAATAAATAAATAAATAAATAAATAATAAAATATGATTACTTCAAACAATTTTTCAACAATTTTATTGAGCTTGAGGCCGTTTTTATTGAAAATTTTTGACGGAATTGACATTTTGGTAGAAGTTATAGCTGCTATTTCGGAGATCATGACATCTCATCAGACTGTTTCAAGTGGGACTCGATCCAACGACCCCAGCCGCCTAAGTCTACCCACTGAGCTTTTAAACTTTTTTCCATTTTCATTAAAACGGCTCAATTAAATTTTTGAATATAATTGTTATAAGGATATAAATATAAACAAGTAAAAAGTCTAAGTTCGGGCGGAACCGAACATTAAATACCCGGCGCAAGTATGAAATATATGTTTTTTCACCTTTCCGAAACCTACCGCTAGATGGTAAGCCGGGGTGTATCAACTTTGAGTAAATTAGCGTCCTTCAATTTCGAAATATTGCAGTTTTAAGCATTTCTAAAATTTCCCGTTATATGAAAAGCGACCGTAATATTAGTCCGATTTCAATAATTTTCAACGTTTTGCTTTTATGTGGCAAGCGCAATAACCATACCGAGTTTGGTACAAATTGGTAGAACGGTTACCGATATACACATATGTGATCATAAGTGGGCGGTGCCACGCCCATTTTCCAAAATTTTACTATAAGCGTATTTCTTGGTAAGGAATTGTTGAAAGCATCAATTTTGAATAAATTAGTTTTAATATTTACTGATTTATCGAAGATTTTGTATTTCTCTAAATTACCGTTATATGGGATTTGGGCGTGGTTATTGTCCGCTTTTTTTAATTTTCGGCCATTTAGTATGTTGTACCAAGGCCAAAAACTGTGCCAAGTTTGGAAAAAATTGGTGCAGCGGTTACCAAGATATACACATGTAACCATAAGCGGACGTGGCTACGCCCATGTTCCANGGGCGTGGCTACGCCCATTTTCCAAAAATTTATAATATTCTTATTTTTCGTCTGATTATTGTAAATATCAATTTTGAGTGAATTATCTTCAGTAGTTACTAAAATATCGCAGTTTTCGCATTTCTGGAAATTACTGTTATATGGGAAGTGGGCGTGGTTACGGTCCGACTTCGCCCATTTTCAATACCAACCTACCTTGGATTTATGGAAATCTACATACCAAATTTCGTTGAGATGTCTCAATTTTTGCTCGAGTCATCGTGTACACGGACGGACAGACAGACATGGCTTAATCCACTTCTCTTTTCATTCTGAGCATTTATGTATACATTTGTCTATATCTATCTCGATTCGTTTTGGCTGTTACAAGCAACCGTTATGTGAACAAAATTAATATACCCTTGTGCACAAGTGCGCTCGGGTATAAAAAAAAAAATATTTCAAAAAAATTCGGTGCAATGTAGAATAACAGTATGGGTACTAAATGAATTTTTTTTTTTGGTTTACGAAGACGATGAGTATTGAAAAAGCCCTTTTAAATAATTCTATTTCTTTAAGCTTATAAAGTTAGGAGGCCGAAATTCGAGGATGTGGTCGAGAGTATATTACTCCTTAACACCTACATTTTTAATACTTACTTATCCTTAAGCACCACCAATTTAATCTGCTTTCGTTCTATAGATTTTTCTTTTTAATTTGATGCACATACGTTTTTATACATTGCAATGAGTTTTAAAGTAATTTTTTGAAATAATCATAATTGGCGAAATTCAAAGTCCGTTAAAAAATCCTGACGTCAAGAGAAAAACTAAAAACGCAGTCTTCCTTCACAAGGTTTCCTTCACAAAGTTTTCCCTTGAATATTGTTATATCTTCACTGGTTCGTAGAAATGGAAAGGAAACTGTGAAACAAAACCAAGGATATTTTTATATCTTAGGAATAGATTTGCAGATTTGAGCTAAAATTTTAATAATATTTACTAGTCGCAATTATAAGGTATTTTACTACTCCAATTCAATGTATGTAAATATTTAAGTTCATATTTGTTTGCGTTATAATAATCTAGTTATTTAATTTATTTACCTGTTTTTTAAGAAAAATATTTATAGCTATTTTTTTTGGCTATAAAACAAACTTTTTAGCTATTTTTCGAAGGATTTCACTATAAGCATCAAAACTTGCTGGCAATAATGATAGTGACATTTTTGACTTTTTCACGTCTTCGTTTGGTGTTCTCTTTTCTCGATTCATTTTCGCCACCCACCCATCGAATCCGTTTTTATTTTTATGTATCACAATTATCGATATTTATTGAATTTTTTTTATAAAAAATTATCATGAAGTGCTTTAAATATGCAGAAAAATTCATTTTGGGGGAATTTCATTGAAAATAGGGGAATATTTTCAAGACTTTCGGGGAATTATCCCTAAGAGAGTTGGCATCCTTACTGTTGGCTAGCATTTCAGTTCTTCGCACTCACGATTGCCTCTCTTCTTATTGCGGCAAATACGTCTCGCTTTCCTCTTTAGTGCCGTATAGCGGTCCCACAAAGCTCGCGTTGCGATCGCAGCAGGGCCTTGTAGGCGGCATCCTTTTTCTCTGCAGCTTTGTGACTAGTTCTTCCTTCGGGTTCGCTAAAATCCGACTATTTCTTCGGCGGCAGTTCTTAATAAGCGGAAAATATCGTTCCACTGCTCGCATATGTTTTTTTTTGTTGAGGAGTGCTATCTGAAATAGAGGTGGAGAAAACATCGATGCACTATCGATGTATCGATGTTTTTGCATTTTTGTTAAACATCGATAGTTGATTGCGACTATCGATGTTTCCTTTGTGCACCTCTGCAAATGTAAAGAACGACGAGTTAAAAGAGAACACGCAAAAGCTATGAACTATAAAATTATATTAGTTTCAACTTTACAACATTTTTTTAATTTTTAGGAAATTTCATTCGTGGTGGTGACGGCGGACGTGGAGTAGTGGTAATCTTTCAGCGATGGAGAAACACCTTAAAAGTAAGTATTTATCATATAAGTAAACGCGCATGTGATTTTTCAACATGCACATTTCAAACGCGTGCGTATGTACATATGTTTATGTTGGACATACATTGTGTTATGGCTTTAATTGTATGATTTATATTTAATAGGAACATCAAAGGAAAACTGCGAGGCTGAGTCCCCAAAACGTAAGCGGGAAGGCTCTATTGTTTGGCAGCATTTCGAGAAAACCAACGACAGGACAAAGGAGATATGCACTTACTGCGGAAAAATGTTAAAAACGGCAGGCAACACGACGAACCTCACGGACCATTTAAAACGCATACATCCCAATCGCCTCACTGCAGAGAAACTTCTTGTATCAACAAAGTTGGATGCATTTTTATTTCGTGATGTGCAGTGATAGTATGATGCCTTATAATGGAAAACATTTGATCTCTTTTTTAAATACCTATGTATGTACATATGTATGTTCGTAGTCGACAATCTTATGTTTCTAAACTAAAATCAAAATATTTTTGAAGACTTATTGGGTTTATTTGATCTCTTTTTTTAATATGTTCGTAGTCGACAAACTTATTTTTATAAACAAAGATCAAAATGTTTTTAAAGATTTAATTAAAAATATTTCATATCTTTTTAAAAAGATGTATGTTAATCCCAATGAATAAATATGTTACGTTTATACAATCTTTATGTACCAACTTAATTTTGACTTTGAGCGCCTTACTCTTTTCAGAACAATCGATGTTACATCGATAGTTGGTTTCAAAACATCGAAAACATCGATGGTAGCAAACATCGATGTTTCTCCACCTCTAATCTGAAAGCAGGTGTGAGAGTCGAGTAGCGAATGCATTTGCCGTCTCTTCTGACTGCAGCCTTTTGACGTTGAGCTTTCCTTGCATTTTTGGGCGCACATTTTTTGCTGTACAGAGACTGGTGCGTATCTTGGCTACAACAAGATAGTGGTCCGGGTAAGTGTTTGGGCCTCGAATTGCACGTAGGTATAAAACGCTGGAAGCGTGCCTTCCGTGTATCACAACATGATCGATATGGTTTCTCGTTTTTCGATCTGGAGACAGCCACGTAGCCTGATGGATATTTTTATGCTGGAACCTAGTACAGTTAACTACAGTTCCAAAGATTCCTTCCTTGCCCACCCTGGTATTGAAGTCGCCAAGCTCGATTTTGATGTCATGGCGGGGGCAGCGCTCATATGTGTGCTCCAAGCGCATATAAGAGTACACTTCATCATTCTCCTCCGTCGGGTCGGGAGTCGGTGATATAGTCTCTCTCCCACCACAAAAGCAACACCGAATTAGCCCTCCTTTACATGGCAGCTGTACTAGAAGTCGCAAGGCCCCATGCATTTATTTCTTGCCCCGTCCAACGCATTTCTTGGATGGCGGTAATGTCAGCTTTTGTACTTACGAGAACATAAACCTGCCGAGCAGAGGAACTTCCTCATTAAGGGTCCGGACATTCCAATCGAATGCACTTAAATCGTAGTTCTTTAAACCTTTGCCGTAGTCTTCATCAAAAAGGGGTCTCATCGGAAGCTTTATTTTGCTTCTTCACTGGAAGTGATTTTTACTTGGGTGGTTCCAAACCCAGCGCACATCCCATTGTTGGGAGCGGGGTGGTTTCTTAACCAAATACACTTTTATATAGCGAGCCGGTTGCTCCGTGACAGACGCCCGCTTGCAGCCGCACCTACTGGTGGACAGACGCTTCATACTTCAGTGAGCCCTCGAACCCAATATGTCGAAGCCCTCTCTCTTTCTGCCGTGACTCAAACCTCCACTCGGATTGGTTACCGCGTCTCGCACATGGGTTGTTCACGTTGCCCATAGTGCGCGAACGAGGACGCGAAATTCGGGTTTGAGTATAGCTGTGCAACTGTATCTCCATACCGTGAACAACGACTATACTCCATTGCATACTGTTATTCTACATAAAAAATAACATAAAAAAAGTCTCAAAGTTAGGGCCGAAATCTAAAGTGGCAACACTAGTTGTACATATGTATATCGTTTTTCGCTTCCACATAAGGCTAGAAACACACTGGGGTAAGAACAGACAGCGCAAGTTTGAACATTGCCAACGCAGAAACAACGTTTGCATTAATTTTAATGCAAATATCAAAACTTAATCAATTTAAGAGTACAAATAAAAATAAAATACAATTCTGCTCTCCTTCGGCTTATACCTGTCCAATTTGACTTGCATATAGTCAAACGTTTCCGCGCAATAGCAGTGCTTTCTACGCGCCGCCCTCAACTATGTACATACATATATTTCTGGCCTGAGGATGAGTGGAAGACAAAAGGTAACTCTCAGCGAGCGAGTGAGCATGAAAACGAGACACAGCCAAAGTTAGACATATGTATGTATATCTACATATATACGTATCGCTCATTTACTTCAATACTGTCATAACTCAAAAATCCAAAAATTCGCTTTAGAGTTTTGAATTTACACATATACTCCCGTAGTAAAAATAAACATATCTTATGCTAGTGAGCTACTGGTAATCGCTACAGCTATGAAATTTTTACGCAGCATAGAACAGGTAGCGGTCATTTCTGCATATTTCTGCATACTTTACTACATTTTGTATTGTATTGGATTATGACACTATTGAATTAAATGAGCGATTTGTATATACATACATGCATATGTAGCTCAATAAGCACTTTGTGCGCTCGACACTTTTCTGTATATTTATTTTTGTCGAAAGCAGGTAATTGTGTTTTGTGTGTCTTCTCGTCGTATTTTGTCAAGCGTTGTATGCCACAAGTTTGCTTAAAGTAGTTTTTCCCACACTACGCACAAATAATTGAAAATTGGAAAGAAAACATATACTCTTGCTATTGAAAACTATAAAGAGGCAGGCGGGCGAGAGGCGCGGGTCGAAATGTTCTACTGAAATTATGTAGGATAAAAAATACTATACCGCGTGCATTGTCAAACTGTTTAACTCAAAGAAGGTACATTGTACTTAGCGCCATCGCCTTAGTTGGCCAAGATTTTTTGTGTACCATTTAGTGAGATAAAGTAGCAACCAAAAAGAAAATACAGCCAGCTAAGCGTATGAAAAATCGAAATCGCGTAAGTAAACTACTAAAATTGTGTTTGACGCCGAAGCTAAAAATAAAAACCATCAACAAAACAAAACGTGTCAAGGAAAATTCAATAAACAGCATCATCAATTCCGCAAATCATAAAATCTGAATGAAAATCAGAAAATCAATCATATTGGCTGCATACTCTGTGATGAAAAAGAATTTTGCAACATCGAATTGCAAAATTTTGGGTCAGTTTTAATTAAAGGTGCGTAAAGTGGTGAAGTGAATTCCATTTTCCTTTAAACTATTGGCTGCGGGATGTGTCGGTTTTTGAGAAGATTTGAGGCAGAGGATTCGTGCTTTTGTGTTTGACAAAGTATTCGAAGAAAGATGATACATCCCAATAAACACAACGAATTCCCTTCGAATTCGAGACGAGCTCGTTTTCTCTGATAGAACCAAGGTGTATTTAACAAGGTGGTGTTGGCCGTATATAAGTAAAAAATTACACTAACAAATTATACGCAGATATCCATACTGTCATTGGTATGAGTTACAACAAACACATCATTTTGACGTAATGCCCTCCACGGCGAAAAACTCAGCTATTGCCCCAACACCACCTTGTTAAATACACCTTGGATAGAACTATCGAGACGATACTTCACAGCGATAAATCGGCGAATTCGAATTCGTAGGAGAGGCACCTATCGTTAGCGAATCGAGTATTACTAGTTTTTCGAATCGTTGGCGTTTTGATAATTTTTTTCTTCAAATCGCTGGCGATTCGAGAACTTTTAATTTTTCTAATCGTTGGAGATTCTATAACTTTTATTTTTCGGATCGTTGGCGATTCGAGAGTTTTTTCTTTTTCGAATCGTTGGATATTCTATAATTTTTATTTTTCGAATCGTTGGAGATTCTATAATTTTTATTTTTCGAATCGTTGGAGATTCTATAATTTTTATTTTTCGAATCGTTGGCGTTTCGAGAATTATTTATTTTTCCACTCGAGATTTCAGCTCGCTATTAGCTTGAGATCCCAAGTTTTATAGGATTTAAAAAACTAGCTATCTGAAATTAGTTCTATAATATAAATAAACAAAAGGTAAAAAATGTGCGGAAATTATGAGTTACATGTTAATAAATTTATTAAAAATGTGAATCCGTATTTAATTTTTAACAACATAAATAAACAGTAATTTTTTTGGGGGAAATTAAGATTTTTAATTAATTTAAGAGTTATTCGCAAGAAAACACTTGCACTTTGCACTTTTCGCACCATGTTTTGATGAACTTGATGCAAATAAATGGAGTAAATGAAAGTTGTTCTCTCACAGAAAGGAGAATTCTACTGCCTGAGAGTTATAACCCCTAAGTGCGGCCGAAGGCCGCCTACGCAGAAAGGTGTTCTCTGCAAAAGGTGTTCAGCCCCCCTTCTTTGGCAACACAGAAAGGAGAATTCTACTGCCTGAGGGTTATAGTCCCTAAGTGCGGCCGAAGGCCGCCTACGCAAAAAGGAGTTGGACGCCTGGTTCAGCTAAAGTGCACTTTTACCAAATTAATAATTTGTTCGCTTAAGACCCTGGGTGCCTTCGTATATGCATTAGTGAATGGTATCAGGGCCATTTATGTCATCACCCACGCCAAGCAAAGGTGACCTTCTACTCAGAAAAAAAAATCTGCGAAATATATTTCTCTCAACACATGATTTGGTAATACTTACCAAATCTTGTTTTGAGAAAAATTTATTTAGGTGACTTATCTGAGTGTATGAGCACTCATAAATTATTTATTTTTTTGATTGTGCCTCGAAGACGATGCAAGAAAAAAATCCTTCGAGAAAACTGATTTACACGAGCTCGCCTCGAATTCGAAACGAGCTCAAAAAATATATTCGAGAAATTTAATTTCTCGAGGTCGTCTCGAATTCGATACGATGTCGCCCTCATTTTTGTGTTTATTGGGATATTTTATTATTGTTTTTTCTTTAGTGTTGTGATATTGTCGTCGTTGCAACGAGCATAACGTGTAGTGGAGAAAGAAGAAGCAAGAGCAAATACGCCACTGCAAATATGTAGCTACATAAGAGTTCACCCAACTAAAAACTGAAGAGAAGACTTCGTAAGAAAGGTAAGCAAGCAAGTGGTTCAGTTGCAAGTAGTACAGGCAAGGCAGCCCAGTGGGAATATTTAATTCTTAGTAATGTACAAAGTAATGCATCGCCCTATAGCCGATAAATTACCAGATGCATGTCCTAGGAAAGTAATGTGTCACTACATATAAATTTTATAAATAAATAAAACAAAAAAAATTGCGTCCGTGCTACAAGGCTTGAGCCCGCGACTAACAAGTTGGTAGTTGAACACGCATCGGCTGTTCAGATAACATGAAAAGAGACATACATATGTATGTATGTATGTGCAGACATTAGGGCGGGTCAATTTGTATGGATCGATTATTTTCGACATCGTTCCTAGCGGAATCGGATTCTTCATAAAATTCTAAAACAAAATTCCTACAGACCATAGCTCTAAAGTCAATTTCGAGCCTGCGCGATTTTAAAAGAAGATATCTTTAATTGATGCTAAGTTAATATGCAGATTAGTATTTACTAAAGTGTTACGAATGTTATTTTTTTAATACAAATTTGTATTTGGGGGTTTTTTGGTACAAAGAATTAATTTTCGATATCTATTTCTTATTTAAAGATCCGTTTAAAGATTGTTGGTGGAGATAATTCTCTCTCTGGGGAGGTCCCATACTAATTTGTGATCATTGGATCATGAAGAAATTAACGGTACTTCTAAATTTTTATATGAGAATTGAAGTCGGTTGTGTTTTTTGCTTAAAAATTACTTGTTATTGTAACAATTGAGTTGGTCCGAACCCTGCAAAGGAATTTATATTGCATACAGTTTATTATGAACTTATTGAAGAGCTAAAATACAAATTTGTTAGTTACCTTAATTGCTGTTAATTACTGTTATCATCAGGGTATTATTATTAGGGCATATAGCGCTGCGAGCTATTTAGATCTATTATGCTAACCTTTATCTAGTTACTCCAACCTTATGCTATTAATGAAATTAAGCCATTTGGAGTGTGATGTTCCACTAGCTCGTTTCTGTAACTTTTCTCTACCGATTATTTCTCTACTCTACTCATTAGCAGTAGAGAACAAGGCGACGAATTCATATATTAATTCGCCTTGGTAGAGAATTGAGATACGAATTCGCCGCACTGTTCTCTACTGTTCAAGGCGAATTTATACAGGGTGGTGTAGTATGATCAGCTGATTTCTTCGCCTTACATGTACGTATTTTGTTTTTGCTTTTACTGATTTGACAGCACATCCATCAAAAGCAAAAACCAAAACACATGTAAACTTTGGGGCGAATTGAGATTTGACATAACACCCGCAATACAAAATAAATGTTGTTGTTGTTGTAATCTAAATTCGCCAGTAACACCACCTTGTATAAATTCGCCTTGCTACTGTTCAAGGCAAATTTATACAAGGTGGTGTTACTGGCGAATTTAGATTTTCGCCGCAATAAGCAAATGGATGTATAGAATTGACAACAACAACCACGCTGTCGAGTTTAAATAGCGGCAAATCAGCTGCACTTGATAGTAGTTGGTTGAATAAGGAAAATGAATTAGCAACAAGAGTTTACGGGATGTACATAGCTCAGTGGTTAACGCTTCTGACTTTGAACATCGAATTCGCAGGTTCGATCCCTGCTGAAGTCTAGAAAAAAAAATCTGATGAGGAGATGTGGTGATCTCCGAAATAGTGCTATAACTTCTACCGCTTAGACTTTGTTGCTTTTTCAATTTTTCCTAATAAACAATCGTGGTACAAAGCTCAATAAAAATATTAAAAATAAAATGTTAACAAGCCACAATAACATTGACAAATACATAGTTTAGGAAGAGCCTGCCTGAAACTATACAAAAAAGCAAATAAGCAAATGGATGTATAGAATTGACAACAACAACCACGCTGTCGAGTTTAAATAGCGGCAAATCAGCTGCACTTGATAGTAGTTGGTTGAATAAGGAAAATGAATTAGCAACAAGAGTTTACGGGGTGTACATCGGTCAGTGGTTAACGCTTTTGACTTTGCACATCGATTACGCAGGTTCGATCCCTGCTGAAGGCTAGAAAAAAAAGAAGTCTGATGAGGAGATGTGGTGATCTCCGAAATAGCTGCTATAACTTCGACCGCTTAGACTTTGTTGTTTTTTAAATTTTTCCTAATAAACAATCGTGGTACAAAGCTCAATAAAAAAAAAAAATAAATTTGTATCAGCTGTTCGTCTGACTTGCAAGTTTCTGCAAATTTTCGGTTACCCCTACTATTTTGGATATCTTGCTCTTGTGAGAGAGCAGATGGCAATTCGCTGGAATTTTGTTGTTGGACATTTTTTACTGGAGATTTAAGTGAACGTACTTATTGACCAACCAACATTTAACAGAACTTTTACGAACGGTTTTAATTGACGTAAAACCAGATTTTGAAAATTTAGCCAAAGGGATCTTTTGAATTTTCTTTAATATCTATAAATAATATTAATAAAATTAATGTTTTTCATTTGTAATAACAACTTTATTTAAAAATGAAATTTTTGTTTTTGTTATTTTTTTTTTGCTCTTTGTAGCATTTACAAGTTACATGGGGCTCTTTTCGGCCTCGGCCTTGCCCACCCCTGGTATAGTCCAACCTTTCCCAGTGTCTGTCCAAGGGCTTTATTAGCCGTAATCTGAAACGCAATAATTACTGAAAATTGGCGCTGTTTATGGTGAAAGACATTTAGTATCACACTTTTAAACTAAAGCTTTCTTAACCCTTTCAGTACAAAATTCAACCACTGACTGATTCTAAAAGTTTTTAAATATGTATATCGGTTAATTTTGGATAGTTCATTTAAAAATCACATCAAAAAAAATGTAAAGCTTTGTCGTCATTCAGTGTCCTTTTTAATGGTCAGTGATATCCTAGGTCTTTAAAAAAAGTTATCTTAACTGTTTTTATTTTTTGCTTTCGTGAATAATACCTTTTCCGAAAATTCCGAAACTATTTTTCAACAGATTATATTACTCACTATCGACTTTTATGCCAATTTTTACTTTTGTGACAAACACGGTCAACTGCAACTACAGATCACCCTAACTAAGTCGTAAGTATACATATGTAGATACGCTGGGAAGAAATTAAGAAAATATAGAAATTTATGTATTGTCACCTACTTAAAAATTTGAAATCTGTGTACCTTTCATGAGCATGAAATGGTATTATAACTTTAGTCCGACAAACTGCATTTTTGTGGTTGCCGTGGAAAATTTCTGTTTCTTCAGCTTATTTCCACTCCAGTCTTAGTTGCTGGCTCTTCAAAATTTTATTACCTTCGACTTTATAGAACTTAACTATAGTTGCTGTTTATTCATCTTATGCTTCATATATTCATAGTACTATGATATTGTCACAATTAAGAAACGTGGCCAACCTTTTCAAGCTGAGAAGTAACAGATCCCAGGATCGAGACCAGATAGATCCTGTTCATGGCGTACTGGAACATGAGTACGATTAGTTCGATATTGTGGTGGCGAGAGCAGTATTCCGCCACTTTAGTATGTGAGGGTGACACCTCACAGAAATGGCTGGTGGGCTAATGCTGCAATCGCCTCCGTCTCGTTAAAACCCTGGCAGGTCTTCAAGTACGTTCAATACACGTCGTCATTTAGTTGGCCGCACAGGTCCAGTTGAAATTTACTCCTGGTTTTGCACTGTCTTGGCTCTGTACACAATATCCCATAAGGACTTGTGCCAACCCTCGCGATGGCCTGCTCCTTTGAGAGAAGGGAACTTCGGGACACTTAAAAGCGACTGTGCTACGTGTGGGCATAGCGGCTTGAAGGGGAGACCCAACTGATTGGAAATGAATAAATTAAAACTAACTAACGAAACCGACGTTGATGTTATGCAGGAAGAATGCAGCGCATTCAGGAAGAGCAGTAGAGTTGTGCGCTCCCCGCCGCAAACTCCTCTGCAGGCAAATGCCGGCACCACGAGCACGGAGAAAGCCGCCGACGTGGCGCAGAAGGCTACACCTTGCCAAACGGCAACTCCCGGCAAGCCGGGATAGCCGTCTTCAAACACCGGGTGCTGCAAACAGCGTCAGGCATGCCACCGCAAGCTTGGGAACTTGCGAAGGCAATGAAGGCGAGCAATTGGCCCAGACTCGGCTCGTCTTGAAGAAGATGCAGATTGCTGTCTCCAAGCAGAAGGATGTGTCCATGGACATAAAACGGGCATGGCCCGAGGAGAACTTAAATATACTAAGCTACCTCCGAGAGCAGCGCCGGAAGGGGTCTACCCTTTCCGAGCTGCAGAAGGCTGGCCCTGGCTCGCAGAAGAGAGGTCGAACTCGATCCGACTCCCCTACAGGCGAGCCGGAAAGGAAAAAGAATACCAATTATAATAATAATAGTAGTAATAATATTATTATTAATAATGGTAATAACGATAATAATGCACAGAAAACCGTACCAGATAATCAATGGAAAACGGTTGGAAAAAGCAGAAAGCCCAAGCCAGGGCCAGCGCCAGGTGAACCCTTGGTCAAAAATGGCGAGGCGACCAGCCTCTGCCACCAGGAGCGACCAATAGTGCTGCTAGTCACACTGGGCGCCGTAGAGCGCCTTCCTTGTCGCCTTCGCGGACGACGTGGCCGACGTCATAACAGAAAGAAACGTCCAGCTAGCACAGCTCAAGCTAAACCAGGTCATGCGCAGGGTCAGTGGATGGATGAGCGATCACGGTCTGCAATTGGCTACGGCCAAGACAGAGATCGTGCTCCTCACCAGGAAACGGATCCCAACAATTATAAATATGATGGTCGGACCTCAACTCGTGACAACTTCTAGATCTACAAAATACCTAGGGGTGAAGCTTGACAGCAAACTCACATTCTGGGAACACATCCATGGAGTATGTGAAAATGCTGCGCAGAACACTGATGGCGAACATGAGCGGCCCGAAGCCATGCCGCAGGAAGCTGCTGATGACAGCAGTCCAGTCGGTGCTCCTGTGCGGGGCAGAAATATGGGCCGACGCATTCAAAGT